ACAAAGCTAAGGCAATTTTTCCCCAGACAGGAAACGGAGGCTCCGCTATCTAGCAATCCCTCTATTTCTTCACCATTGAGATGCAGTTTGGTATATAAACGATTATCTTCGCCTTCAAATAGGGTAGCCGAGGCTATTTCCTGACGAATGCGTCTTCTCCTCTTATATCGCTCTCTAGCCTTCTTAATTTTATTGGAAACTTGACCAAAAATTCTTTCTCTCGCCTCGCAATATTCTCTTACTCTGATATGAAGTGGTTTCAACTCTCTCAATCTCGGTTTTACTTCTGACTTTCTACTTTCTTGCTCTACATTCTTCAAAATAGAAACTTTAATACTGGAACTACTACTACTCTGCTCTGGGCTTAAACTGGGGTTGACCTCACCTGCCCAGACTGAGGTGGGTTCCTGTGCCGGTTTCCCTGACACTTCGGACAATCGGGGACGGTAACACCTTCTTGGCCACACCTATAGCAGAAAATCTTTCGAGGCTCCCGGCACTCCATCCAGCTATGACCCATAACACCGCAGTTCCAACATTTATACTTGGATGTCATGGTCACGGCATCAACTTCAATATCGCCTCGAGGTTCCTCTTCCATCTGCCATTCAAGCTCATGCACTTTCTGTGCTGTGTTGTAGCGTTGCTGTCTTTGGGTCCATACCAGATTTTCGGCTTTCTTCACCTGCCTATAAAAATCACCCAAGCTATTTATCTGAGCCGAGAAGATCATTTGGGATAAAGACGGCTTAAGGTTGCCTCTCATTATTTCCACTATCTCGTGCTCCCTGTATGGCGACTTTTGCTGTGTCCGTAGCCGCAGTACATCATTATAAAAATCTTCAAAATTCTCATGTGGTAGTTGACGCCGATTTAAAATCTGCATTTGAAGCTGGAATTCATTTTCAAATCTTTGGTATTGCGCCAACAAAGCACTTTCCAACTCCTTCCATGTGCGAAACTGGACCAATTTCCGGTGGTTCCAATACCAATCGAGAGCTGGTTTTTCCAAAAGTTGGTGAAATTTGGTGATCAATACTTCATCAGGGCAATTATAATCTTTTTTAAGTTCACCCACTCTGAAGATGAATTCTTGGACGCTCATGGTTTTGTCGGTACCATCAAAAGATACTCCCCATTTCGCCAAATTAAAACGCCCCGAGATTTCTGAGATGATATTGCTGGGATGTGGACTGGAATGTGCCTCGTGTGGCTCTGTCCGCATGCCTCTGCTGTAGATATTAGGCAACCTCTCGGCCGGCAGTATTGTGTGAGTTTGGACTCCGGCGACTGGTGGTGGTACCGATAAGCTGGTTGGTGGTTGTGCTGGTGCACCACTTGATGTGAACCCTGGTGGCGGTTGGCTAAAAGGACCAAGTGACAACGGTCTAGGATCGTGAATCGGTGGTGGATTTACTCGCTCCGGATATGGTAGTGTGTAACCCCTTGCTAAATTAGGCTGCTGAGACGTTAAGCCTGACGCCAATGCATGTGAAGACAGAATGACTGACTCCCGGGATGGGCGCGCTGGTGCATGTGGTGCCGCTGCTGGCATCGCCAAGCCGGCTTGTGAAAATACTTGATTAGTGCCGTCATTGTCTCCCAACAACGAACGCTTGGCCGCTTCAGCAATTCGAGGTATCAGCGCTCTCAATCTTTCTTCTTCCTGTTGACGGTACTGCAATTGGGACAGGGCGATGGCAGAATTAATAATTTCCCTGACTCCTGCGCTGACTGCTGGATCTGCTGGCGGGATAACTGGTCTATTCTGCAACCCGGTCAAAACACTATAGTTTGGCGAGGCAACGCTTCCATGTGACCAAAAAGACGTGTTAAACGAGTTAGCGGCCTCTTGCATGCTTAATGGAACTGGTGGCGGTGCCGATGAATTGGACATTGATGATGAAACACCTTGAGCTGGGACGTCCCCATGTGCTAAATGTGCGATATGAGAAGCAATGGGACCACTATGCGCGGCAGTTGTAACCTGTTGTGCGTTAGAAGGTGCGCTGTGAACCGCGGTAACAACACTGCTTACGGCTGTAGATTCGGAAGTGGTTACCACCCCATTTTGCCCTAATATCGGTCTACCTGCCAAACCTGCACTCGCAGCTCTAGTAAGAGGCATATTGCTTTTTGATATAACCAAATTAGTAAACAAAAAAAATCAGAAAAAGCGATAAAAAATCAAAAAGAAATCTGTCAAAAGAATTTGCTCGAAAGTAAACCACACGGTGGTTTGAATTAAAGAAAAAAAAAATAAAAACAATTGTGGTAAGTAAACTAAAAAAATAAATTCAATGTAATTCAGTTCTTTCACAATTAATTCACACTTTTCACTTTTACAAATTCTATTATCCGGCAGAATAATTTTGATGAAAATAAACTGGAAAAATTCAAATAATGTTAGGTGGTGGATTTCTGGTCAAAATAGTGGTAAGTCAAGGTCAAATAAACTGTTTCTGTATGAATTTTAATATGTTTCACTTTTTACAGGGATTTGGTGAGCTACACTGGCAAAACTAGAATTGAAATGGACTGAAAAATTAAAATGGAACAGGCGGCTTACTCAGACCTCCCTTAAAAAATTCCATGACAATACGACCAATGGTCGGAAGCCAAAATTGTCGCAGGACCGAATGGAAACTCTAGGTAAGTCTGAGATCAGCTACCAAACTCCGGGTACTGAAATTAAATATAGACAGAAACTAAAATCTAAAAAACACAAATTAACAAATTCGTTTGAGAATAACAATTCATATTTGCGTAGCAGCGCGTCACCTGCCTCCTTATAGGCTGCTTGGACGGGTCTCCACAAATGAGAACTGATAAACCAGACGAATTTCTTCAACGATATAACTTTAAGAAATCTGAAATTTTAACTTTACTAAAATATGAAAGTTTATTAAAAAGCTAGTGCCATTAGAAGTATTAAACTAAAACGACTAAGCCACTAGAAAAAAAAAATAATAAAAATCATATTTTTCCCAAATATAAATGGTGTTTACCTGAGTCTTCGATGAAGCAACGCGTCAGGACTCTTAATTAAACCTAGACGGGACTCATTAAAGATTCATGGTAAACACATTTACACAATACGACCAAAAATTATTAAAAGCTAACATGTCTCAGGCCCCACGTTCTGGGCGCCATTTTGTAACAACCGTGTTCAAGAAAAAACGAAATGAATTCGCTGTGTTGACCATTAAGTGGCGTTGCCGGTATGCTGGCGTTTAGCGCGGCTATGGCTCGTCGGATTGGGGGTTGGTTCTTGCCACTTGCAGATCTTTTCGGTTGAACAAACAAAAAAAATCATACCGGACTTCAAACTAAATCAAAAAGGGGGTAAAAAGAAGCCTGAAACATGTCAACAAAAAAATTAAATAGAAGAAAACGTTCACCTAACTGCAACCAAATCCCAAAATAACGTTAGTTTTCTTCACAGAAACAGTGCTCCTGGCGGCTGACCAGCCAGGAGATAGCCCTCCCTCCGAGAACACCTCTCGCCATGACGTCTACTCATACTGGACGTCCCAGATCTGACCCTTGACTTACCATATTTTATCCCATTCCCACCACCTTTTTAATAGGGCTTTAAGCCGAAGACATTTTTATCTTTTCAGGTTTAATCCAGTACATATTTATTAAAACTATATTACATATTTGGCAAAAAAGAACAATTCATTCCATCGTAATTTGAATCAAAATCTAACAATTTACAGCGAATTATAATATAAAAATTTCAGGAAAAAACAAAGAATTGCCAATAAAAATCAATTTTCGAAAGTATTCTTTTCTTTTTGTACTTTTAGGGCTTAACGGCGGGCACCCAGAGTGTAGAACCTTGACGGCAGCTTGTGACTAAGGCTTTTTCCCAAAACGTAAGTATGTACGAATTAGTTCGTGTTTCAGCTTTTTAATTATATTCCTCGGTCAGAATGTAAATAATAATTTTCTTGCTTTCAATTTCCAGATGAGGACGAACAAAGGAATGTAGGTCGATACCACATTAAATCGACGATCTACACAATGCCTGGTAACCTAACCTTGAATTGAGCTCAGTTCAATGTCGCGTACCTGCATACCAACACAAAGTAAGTAAAAAATTTAATATTAACTCGTTTGTTCACCCTTTTAATTTATTTATTCTTTTCAGGAAAAACCGCGGAATTTAATTATGTAGCTTAGTCGTCCGTCTGTCTGTCCGGAGTTAAATAAGTTTCAGTGTCAATTGGGAATGATACCAAGCCACGCTGGAGCAGCAATGGCGTAAACTCTGCGCCTCCCTCGATGGATTGGATGGGCGATGGTGTGGCTTGTAGGCTCCAATTCTTCATGAATTTTTAGGTTTAAGATTTATATTCATTGCTTTAGAATTTTAGTCAATTGTTTGGGTTTTTTTTTTTATATTGTTAAATTGTTTTCAAACTTTGTTTAATTTTAAAAAAGGTTCAATTTTCTTTTAATTTTCAATTTTTTGAAAACTATTTGTTTTGTTATAAATTTCCTTTCAATTTTTTGCCTTTTTTTCGTTTAATGTTGCTTAATTATTTAAAGGCTTCAGATTTTCTTTAAAATAGTTTGTATTTTGTGTTGTTTGTGTATGTGTTTCAACAAATAAACCAGATGAATTCACTTCTCAAAAACTTTGGTTGTTTTTTTTTTTGACGGTTACAGGGAGCCACGCATCCAATCTTCTTCGCAGGCAAAATCAAAAAAGGCAGATTTTTCTTACAATTTTTGCCAGGAAATTCTGGCTGCCATTTTCCTCGTTTAATTTTTTCATTTTCTTATATTATTCCCTAATATTGACATTTAAGTAATTGGAATAATCAGCTGTTTCCTAGTAATTGTTCTTCTTCTTCTTCGAGCTATCAATTATTTTCAGGGTTACCCCTTTTAAAGGCGCACACCACAGACTAAGTCACCTTGAGTAAGTTGGTAGCTATGCGGTACTGGAGGATTTTGGTAGTATTCTTGCTAAGTCTGCTTTTCCACAGGCAAATTTTTATTTGGCAAATACTGAGTTTGTAGGCGAGAGGGGTGCGAGGAAGAAAAACAAAAATTTGCCTGTTCAGAATTTGCCGTACACGCAAATTCTGCTTTGCTCTGTTCGTTGAAAACAATTTTGTTGACATTTCCTTTTGAACATATTCGCTTTACTGACACACAGCCGGTTTTGTTTACAAACCTGTTGCTTTAATTTGTGCAAGTGAAATTTAATTTTTAATTTTTGCAATTTATATAATAAAATATATATAAAATAAATAAAATATAAAAAAAAAAAACTTTAAAATGCAAACACTTTTGACTTTTATTTTCTTTTGATTCGCAAATTTGGCAATGAAAAATTTGCTAATGGAAAAGCAAGCGAAAATTTCAAAAGAGAAAACAAAAAATTTGCCAAATAAAAATCCGCCTGTGGAAAAGCAGACTAACCAAGTACTTTAGTATGAAGACTGTCTCAAATGAGGGAGAGTTAACGGCTCCAACAAACAAAGGCTTTTTTTGTTATCGAAAGTGTCTGCGTTATCGATCCCAACGATGAAGAATATCTGTTTGGCAGCATAACAACAGCTGTTGGCTCGATCGATCTTGTGTTATTATGTAATTGCCTTTTATTTCTCTGTCGTGTTTTGTTTTAGATTTTAGTATATTTAAGTTTCTTGTTTCGCCAAAATGTCCGCCCTTCGACAAATACACAAGATCTTAAAATGCTCCAACGTGGCTGCTAAAGTCCCTAGGGTAAGTACAATACAGGAGACGGGAACATTTCCTATATCGTTTACCCTATCTGTTTTGCAGAGTGTTGTCCCGATCTTTAATGCCAAAAGATGTGTCGCCAACGTTTCAGCCGATCACCCTTCGATGTTTCCCGGGGCCAAGGCTCCATTTGTAGCTGAACCTAATTTTACTTTACCCTCGGACTACTCACCAATACCCATTTACAGGGTAATGGATGCCGAAGGAGTAGTCAATCCTAGCCAAGATCCCAATTTAGATCGTGACTATGTAACGAAAATGTTCCGAGACATGGTTCTTTTGAATACTATGGATAAGATCTTATACGAATCCCAAAGGCAAGGTCGTATCTCGTTCTATATGACCAATTTTGGTGAAGAAGCAAGTCATATTGGAAGTGCCGCCGCCTTGGAGAACAGAGATTGGATCTATGGGCAATATCGTGAGGCTGGCGTTTTAGTTTGGAGAGGCTTCAAAATCGAACAATTCATTGACCAGTGCTACGGTAATGCAGCCGACATTGGAAGAGGCAAACAAATGCCGGTCCATTATGGATCAAAGGATTTGAACTTCGTTACCATCTCCAGTCCACTTTGTAAGGTTTTATAGCTGTTCTAAGACGGACGAGTAATTAAAAATGTAAAACTTTGTCATACTTTTAGCCACCCAAATGCCACAAGCCGTAGGAGCGGCCTATGCAATGAAACGTCGGCCAAATAATGACTCCGTTGTGGTCTGCTACTTCGGCGAAGGCGCCGCATCCGAAGGTGATGCTCATGCTGCATTCAATTTCGCAGCAACTCTTAATTGCCCCGTCATTCTGTTTTGGTATGCACATATTTTTTCCATACATATTTTAAATAGTATTAATTAATAAAATGTGTTTCCTGTAGCCGTAACAATGGATTTGCCATTTCAACTCCATCATATGAACAATACGGTGGTGATGGCATTGCTGCAAGGGGACCCGCCTATGGAATCGCTACCATTCGGTATAACAAACGCTGATTTAGCTTTCTTCTATGTTGTTCTAATGTTTTCATTTGCTTTTAGTGTTGATGGTACTGATGTATTTGCCGTCTACAATGCCATGAAGAAGGCTAGGGAATATGTTCTTCGCGAAAATAAACCAGTTGTTTTTGAAGCAATGGCCTATCGGTAAGAAACGATGGTTTTAGTCCAAGATAATTGTAATCCGATCTATTCGCCTTTTTACACAGTGTTGGTCACCACTCCACTTCTGATGATTCCACGGCATACCGCTCTGCAGAGGAGATTGAAATTTGGAATACAACAGAACACCCAATATCTAAGCTCAAGAATTACATGATAAAGAAAGGTTGGTTCAACGAGGAAGAAGAAAGTGCCTTTGTTAAGGACGTACGAAAACAAGTTCTTAAACAAATCTCCGTTTCGGAGAAAAAGCTTAAACCAAACTGGAGGGAGATGTTCGAAGGTGTCTACGATGAAATGCCCCAACATTTGAAAGAACAATTGGAAGAGCTGGAAAAACATGTAAAAGACCACCCCGACCACTACCCACTCAAAAACTTCCAAGCCTAAGGAAACGCCACCACAACATACCGAACCGTTAGCCAAATGGGAATCTTATAATGTGCATTTATTAGTTTAAGTAGGACAAACGTGTGTGTGTATAACGTAAGAAAATTGTGATTCGGAACTTGCATTTATTTACACAATATATACAACATTTTTGATTAGCTGGAACTAAACTTTTATATTTAGTATACAAGGAATAAATGTTTAGAAATTCCAAAATAAAGTGTATTCGCAGAAAATAATAGAAGAATAGAATTGCAAATGTGTTGTGTTATTGCCTTGTAAGGTCATTAATATGAAATGAGTTGCATTCACGCACGGCATACGGTAGAGAATCGCGCAGGAAATGGAGCGAATTGCGCATGAATGAAGAATAAATGCAATAAATGCAAAACGAGTTCATAGCCAATTTAACAATGAAGGCAGTAATGGTGACAGAGATCTTAAGTCACATAATTTGACTCGGTGTAAGCTAAGGAGTAGGGCTGCTACAACACCAGCAATCAATGCTTCAGATTACATGTATATGGACGACATTTCAATTTGCAAAAGTTTTTCCAGTAAGCGGATGTGAACGCTGAAGCATAATATTTGAATGGGTGTGCGTCCTCGTATATGTTAATGAGGAAATAAATACCGTGATATTTCAATATTTTTAAATGTATATGTATGTAGGTTTGTATAATTTATTGATTAGACGGACAGAAAACTTACATTAATTACATTAATTTTGAATGAAAATACATTTTAACAAATCTTAAGTAATTCAATGAGCCCTGACACTCGATCTACTTGAAATAAAAAGACAACAACACATCAAAATGGAATATAGCTATAAAATCCTCATATATACTGATCATTTTCTACAAGTTATACCTTCTAAAGGCAACACTCCTCCATGGAGCATTCCCATCGGAGAAGTGTTCTTGTAGTAATTGACCTACATATATAAATTTCGGAATGAAACAAATTTTGGACACAAACAAAATCTTAATGTATGTAGAATTCAGGACAATACTAAAGTGATTAGTTAGTGCGTAACTGGTAGTCTCCGTTTTGGGTTATGTATCGGACCCATGGCAATGCTTGATAGCCACTCTTTTCTATAATTTTTAAGTAACGAACTTGAATACCCGATGTGGTGAAATACGGTATTTCGAAGTGGACCTGTATTGGCGGCTTACCCTCCAAACTGTCTTCACTTTTGACGCTTGGCAAGCCGAAGTGGGCCCGCATTAAATACTCTTTGCCGCCTGGGAATGATTTGATAGTCCAAATAACTGCATTTTGTTCCGGAGCATATTTGCAGCTGCCAATTGTGGTCTTGAATTTTGGCGAATCGGCATCGGCTGGTACTGGAATAATGATTTCCACATTGTTAGCCGTGGAACGACGTTTAAACTGGGACTTGGCCTTGATCATGTACTCGACGCGAGAATGTTCGTGTCGCTCAATAACGGATTCAATCCAAATCAGTGGCTTGACCTGCAATTAGTATTAAGTTTACAAAAATAGAAATGTCATTACATGTGCAATCACTACATACGTGTGTATTGAGTCTATACGACATCAATTCAAATTCTCCATCGGGTGGGATGAAAGAAATCGTTCTATCGTTTTCAAAGCGAGACAGACGTACGCATTGATGAAATTTCACATCTTCCAGTTCTACCGACTTCGATTTCCCTCTGCCTGTGCTTTCGAATAGAACTTTGTCATTGAGGCCTAATCTGAGTTCTGGCATTCCGGACAGATAAACTCTCATTTTAATGGCGCCGACAATTTCGCTGCGTAAAACATTTCCATTGGCGTTGGCCAAAAGATTAACGGACTCGATGACATCTAAAAATACTTCGTTTTTCCGGTATTTGATACCTTCCGAACGCCATGAGACAGCATTTGTCACTGCTACAGGTATGCGTGGTTGTATTTCCAGTTTGTGGCCCTCCTGCGTAATATATTCCTGCAATATTTTCGAGTCAGTTGTCTGTGGATAACCAAAATCAATGAGTTCATCCAACAGCTCGTAGATAATGACGAAATTGTCTCGAATCGACTCCTCCTCCAGCTCCTTGAAATACTCAATGAACACCTGG